AATCCAGTGTAGGCACAGGACAGGTCAACATAGATTATTGTTATAATATTGTTTCTCTTTTATCTTAATTCCAGTATTTAAGGATATCCGATCCTCAGCCAGGAAGGATAACTCCAAAAATTCATATTTAATTTAAAATGCATCAAAATGAAGCTTGAAAGTGAATTTTTTGCACGCAACAATTTTCATTTTATTCATCTTTATAAGATTCAAGGCTTTTTGGAATCTTAGAAAAGGTCTTATAAAAGTTAAAATTTGTACCCTATAAAAGGGAAAAAAATTATACAGTTTTAGAGGAATAAGATTTTATTGAATTCAGCCTTAGATACCAAAGCTTATCATCATGGTTCCTTTTGGTTACTGGTGGAACATAGGGCCTCGGCAACAGTTCTCCATCGCACTCTATTCTGGGCAGCCTTTTTCAGTTTTTCCCAGGTGGGTCCACATTGCCTGATCTCCTCTTCACATGACCTCCGCCAAGTTTTCCTGGGACGCCCAACTCGCCGTTTGCCTTGTGGGTTCCACTCGAGTGAGTGGCGTGTAATGTCTCCTGGTGGTTTTCGGAGGGTATGTCCAATCCATCGCCACTTTCTGCGGGCTATTTGTTTAGTGATTGGGTCTTGGTTTGTTTTTTCCCACAGGTTCTTGTTGCTTATAGTTTCTGGCCATCTGATGTTTAATATGTGGCGTAGACATCTGTTAGCAAAGGCTTGTAGTTCGTTGGAGGTGGTGTTGGTGACTCTCCATGTTTCAGACCCGTAGAGGAGCACAGACGTAACATTGGTGTTGTAGATGCGGAGTTTTATGTGTGTGGATAGTGCTGTTGAACTCCATACAGGCTTGAGGGTAGTGAAGATGTGTCTGGCTTTATTAATTCTAGCTTTTACGTCTTCATCTGTTCCACCAGTGGCTGTGACGATGCTGCCTAAGTATGTAAAGGAGTCTACATCTTTAAGGTTGTGCTCTCCAAGTGTAACTGGCGTTTGCTGTTTGTTGTGGAGCCGCATCACCTCTGTCTTTTCGATGTTCACCTTTAGACCTGTCTTTGCTGCTTCTTTTGCAAGCCTATTTGTCTTGAGCTGCATATGCTCATACTTCTGGGACATGAGGCATAGATCATCTGCAAAGTCAAGGTCTTCCAAACACTGAGTGAAAGTCCACTGGACTCCTGTCTTACTATCTTTTCTTGTCTCCCGCATGATCCAGTCCACTACCACTAAAAAATCGTTGGTGACAGCAGACAGCCTTGTTTAACCCCAGTCTGTACCTCAAACGCTTCAGTAAGCTTTCCATTGTGGATGACTTGTCATGTTGCCTCGTCATACAATTGTTGTATCAGGTTGATAAAGGTAGGAGGCGTTCCATAATGCTGTAGTAGTTTCCAGATGACTTTTCTATCAACACTATCAAAGGCCTTTTCAAAGTCTAAGAAGTTAAGATAAAGTGTTGACTGCCACTCCAGTGACTGTTCAATTATTGTACGTAGAGTGGCGATCTGGTCTGTACAGGACTTGTCCTTTCTAAAGCCTGCCTGTTCTGGACGAAGTCGTTCTTCTATAGCATCTTTGAGCCTCTCCAGTATTATTTTTGTTAGGATCTTGCTTGGGACAGAGAGGAGCATGATGCCACGCCAGTTCTTGCATTGTCCCAGGTCTCCTTTCTTGGGTAACTTCACTAGATGTCCTTTTTTCCAATCAGCTGGTACCTTTCCCTCTGACCATATCTTCTGCAGGAGAGGTAGTAACATATCTGCTGAAGTCTTTGTGTCTGCTTTAAGGGTTTCTGGAGGGATTCCATCAGGCCCAGCTGCTTTCCCACTCTTTAATTTCTTCAGAGCCTTGATGGTCTCAGCCCTTGTGGGAGGGGCGGTGATCACTGCTAGTTCAGAGTCTCCTGAGGGTATGTTTGGTGTTGTTTCTGGTGCTGGGCGATTTAGGAGTTCTCTGAAATGTTCTGCCCAGCGCTTTCTCTGGTCTTCTTCCTTTGTTATAGCGTTGCCTTCCTTGTCTTTTACTGGCTTGGTCTGTGGTGGTCTTTTCCCAGCCAGGGTTCTTGTGGTTTTGTACATGGTACAGAAGTCTCTTTTCTCTGCTGCTTCCTCAGCTTCTGTAGCTAGCACATTATAAAAGTGCCTTTTATCTCTCCTTGCACTTTTCTTTGCTTCATTGTTTAGAATAGTCTGTCTGTCTTTTAATTCTTGTTTTTTTTTTTTGTTCCTCCTCACAACTGTTAATTTGCTGTTTGAGAAGTTTTCTTTCATCGACCAGTTTCCATGTATCTTCTGAAAGCCATTCTTTGTCTCCCTTTTCTCTTTTCCCTAGGATCTCTTCGCATGTGTCTTTCCAATTGTCTTTGATGGAGTTCCAGTGTTCTTTTAGTGGAGTTTCTTGACAGACATTGTTTAGGACCTTATCAGCATGATATGAAATTAGAAGCGATTTGTGGTGTCTTGCAATGATAGCAAAAGCCTTTTGCACTATGTATTATAGAATATATGACGGAAATAGAGGACAAAAAATATACAAAATAAGTATAAAAATCATTACAATTTCTCTGAATGCCTGGATAACTATTGTTTTTTAACCTAAAATATATTTGTTGATCAATTTGCATTTGGAAAATGCATTGCTGATATCCCAGTTCGCTTTTTCTGCAAAAATATTGGAGATTTCACAATTGTCCCCATATAATATGATTAACTTTACTCTTTAATTTTAAGGAAATTCTGTGGATAAATTTACATACCTTTGTGGATTCAGAGATACTTTTATGAGTATTGCTGATTACTTAACTGCTAATTTTATAAACCTGATGATCGGACTACCTTAAAACATTTTGAGAAGCATAACAGAGTGGCCTGTCAAAAGAAAGATAACTCTAATTAATGCCATTATACCAGGTACCTCATTTACTCGTCTCCTACCGTCTAATTGTACATGTACATATGTACATATAGCATAGGGATTTAATCTAATATTACATTATTAATTGATCTTAAAAGAGGAGAAAATTATGCCAATTTTCGAACAAAAGTCGTGTTCAAAACTGTTAAAGTCTCTAAGGAACAGAGAGGGGAAATGACATCGTGGGTATGAAAAGAAGAGAGACCCTTGCATTCCCAGTAAGGACCAACGAAGAGAATCTGGTACCGCTGTTCAAGAACAAACGAAAATATCCATTCATCTCTAATAAGGACCACATGAAACACCTGACATCCCTAGTTATCACAACTGTCAAGACAAGAGGAGAGACCATTGTTTGATAATGACTAGAAGAGAAACTTTTGCATCCCTGCTAAGGATCAGAACAGCATCCCTTTTAGAAACTTATGGAGAGATCCTCTCATCTATGGTAAGGACCAGAGGAGAGATCATTGCTCCCTGCTGAAGACCAGAGACCATTACATCCCTGACATTGACCAGAGGTTAGGCGCTTGCATGCCCGGTGAGAGCCAGAGAAGAGACCCTTGTATACCCTGGTGAAGACAAGCAAAGAAACTTTTGCATCCATGATAAGAACCCTTTTGATCACGACCGGGGTTTAACCTTTTACCTCCCGATCAAGAAGCGAGTCCTCAGGAATCGGGGAAGACCCTCTACCAGAAAGAAACGGAGGAGAGACTCATGTTCCCTGTTCACAACAAGAGAAACCCTTGTATACCTGTTAAGGAACAAACTGAAATACCTTTTAAGTCATCTCTGATAAGGACCAGGCGAGACACTCTGGCATCCTCATTAAAGGGGAAAGGAGAATCCCTGTTATTAAGGACCGGAGGAGAGATCTTTGTTCAATGGTAGGGACCAGAGAGAGAGAGAGAGAGAGAGAGAGAGAGAGAGAGAGAGAGAGAGAGAGAGAGGACTAGTTTGATGTAAGAGTCTCTCGTATTCACAAATGTGATGGTAGCTAGTGAAAGTGTCTCTTGACTGTGGCTCAGTTAGTAGAAGTCTTACTCCGTGAGCGGTATGTCGTGGATTAAAGCCCTGGCCACAACAAAAAAGAGCTCTTTTCAAGGATGCAAGAGTATCCTCTTGTCTGCACCAGGGTATGCAATGATCTAACCTTTGGTCCTCACCGTCTGTGCAAGGGTCTATGGTATTTAGTCCTTAAAAATCTTTAAATACCAGTGGTGTAAGAGTTTCTTCTCTGGTCCTTTCCAGGTACATGTATGTAGTGGTCCCTCATCTGCGGGATCGAAAATCTCTCCTTCAGACCTTATAAGAGATGCAAATACAAGTATCCCTCCTCTTGTTTTACAAAGATGCAAAAGTCTCTCTTCTGGTCCTTTACAGAGAATCTCAGAATCGTCTTAAATCAAGGAAGTTCATTCCTTATTTTTATGCGACTACGAAAATCAGTGAAAGCTAGAATGATGATGCATATTAGGTTAAAAAAATTGTTCAAAAGTTTCAGCTCACAAATGATTTCCTTGCTCTTCTCTAAAGTTCTCTGATCGTTACACAGATGCAAGGGTCTCCCCTCTAGTCCTTACCACAGAAACATGGTTTTGTCTCTGGTCCTTACTAAACAAAGGTATCTCCTATGGACCCTATCATGCTCCTTACCACTGAGACAAGGGTCATTTAGGGACCAGAGGAGAGACCACTTATCATTCCTGGTAAGAACTAAAGAAGAGACCCTTGTTGTTGGTAAGGCTGAGAAGAGAGATCATCGAATCCTGTGTAAGTACCAGAGAATTTCTTCTCTATACAGCAGTACATAGTACAGTCTTATAATATTACATGTTCAGTGTATACAAATGCTGTGACAAACTCCAGCAATTGACAGTTAAGCGATTAATAGAATATTTGTCATCAAAAAGGTTGCAACCACAGTTGATAAGCATTGAAATTAATGGTATAAACCATATCCCCATAGAACTTGCTATAACATTATTAGACATAAATTCCTAAACGAGTGCCTATTAAACTGTTAAATACAATTCAAGTTACAAGTGTTTCAGCACTCTCTAGACTGAAAAATGTTAATACATGTATAATATATTACTTCATAAGAAAAATTTATTCAAATTTTAGTCGAGGAACACGTATAGTATATTTCGTTCAATTTGCTGTATCTCTCTAGTAAGCCCTCTTTCCTTTATCTGTAACACAGTCCTTTGTAACAACCGTATCCACGTTGACAGCGACTGCACTGTTTCCCGGGAGTGAACGGTTTTCTTCCTATCCAGTTTCCTCTACAAACAAGAAAGATAAAAATAAGTTTAAGCTGGCAAGTTATATTTTTGATATTCATTTATTTTCAGCTTATTAGCCTGATATTTTAATCTGTATTAAGTTATTTACAATATTATTGAAGTCAATTTATATTTTTTTTCTTTACTAGATTTTTAAAATGAAGAGACGTACGCTGGTCCGTAGTTGCAGACATAGTTGTAGCCCCCTCTGCCTCGAAATAAGTTTCTACAATATGCAACTCCACATCCAAGGTATTCAGAGTCCGCCCATACAACCTAGGAGGAAAACAGAAGAAATCATTTATTAATACACAAAAAAACCCAGTAAGAATAGGTTTAATCTGAAATGCAGTCAATAATGACTATAAGCATTCTATCCAGGATAGAAGTCTTTATCTTAGCCCAATGATATTTTCATTCTAATAACAAACACATTAATATTCATAATTCTGGCTTTGTCATTCCTCTTCATAGACACTTTCTAAATATTGACAATGAACATGAAATGAATGCTTTACAGTTATGACAATATGAGGGCATCATGAAGCCACATTAAAGCCTGAATATCTTAATACACACCTGTGTATAATGTCCACAGACACCGGAGCAGTGGTTGGAATAAAAATTATACTGAGATTTTTCCGAGTACCAGCTCCGTATTACATCTCTAGCAGATGCACGATCTGAAAACCAGGATTGTTTCATTTGCTTTTATATCAGTATGTTAAAAATGTATTAGATTTTTTTGAAAGAAAAAGACCAATCTTTATAAATCATTATATAAGATAAACCCGTTTTGTAACCATTAGAAGAAGTTCCCTGGGGGCATATCTAATATGATTTTCCCCTTCAAAACCTATTTCTCCTAAATCCTCTCACATTTTTTTTAAAAAGCTAACTCATCTTTTAGAATATGATTGGGAATATCCTGTGAATACCGAAAAAGTTTTGAAATTTAGAATTTTAACATAGGGGCAAAATGGAGGACAATGAACGCCGCCCCCTAAAAACTGTATTCTTGAACTCTTCTTATATTTTTACAGTGGTTCATTTAAATTTTGGAACATGATTGGGAGTGTCTTGAAGATGGATAGGATTTCCATTTTCCACCCTTGGAGTGAATTAATTGGGGTTAAAAAATGTCGATTGCCTTCAATAAGTTGGTTTCCTAAGCTGTTCTTACATTTTTAGTATAAACCTATTGATATTTTTTTTAAAAATGTTCGTAAGTGTCCTGTAGATGTACAATAGGGATTCAAAATTAAGATTTTTACATTAGAGCGTGATATATGTATTGAATGAAATATATGGAGATACCGAACACTATTCAAGTTCAAAAGTCCGTAAAACAATACGAAATAGGAGCAAAGAAAACACGGACGTCCAAAACATCAGAGGTGGGATCAGGTGGCATAGAGGAGTGAGCATCCCCTGCCAACCGGTCACACCTGCCTTGTGCTCCTTGTCATGATCGGAAAATAACGGAAAATCCGTTGTCAATTCAGAGTTTAAATAATGGACTAACAATTAGTAAGATTGATTGATTGTATGTTGTTTTACGTCTCTTTTCATTCATATAGAGACGTCACCATAAAATGGTGAAAGGCTTCAAATTTTGACTTTTATTCGGCACTCAGATCCATTGAGCAGTGAGGGATCTTTATCGCGCAAACGCTTGCCGATCGTGAACGGTAACAATTAATTAGTATGAAAATAATAAGTCAGTATTTGACTCAATGATAAATTGTATTTGCTGACAAGGTCATTGCATCGACCATAGAACTTACGACATGATGGCTTTAAACGAGACTGATAATATTCTTGTTTCATCAACTTGTTAGTCAATAATTTACCTCGTTTCAGAAATTGAACGTACGTAGAGTGTGCCTTTGCGTATCGAATCGAATCGATACGCAAGAGCACGAGAGATATAAACCCTGTATGCAGGTGATGAAAGTATATTGTTGCATAAGTAAGGAAAGTTACCATTAACGTATTTTTCAAGTAAAGTATCCAAATATGAAATAGATGTGTCACACTCTCTGATATCTTTCATTTCAAGCTGACCGAGATACCGGTATGTTGTATCGACATAATAATGGAAATAACCATTGTTAATAGACAATACGTAATCGATATTTTTCACGTATATGATTTTGGACAAAGTCTGCTACATATGAATACAAAATTCGTCTGCTTATAACGGGACACAGTTGGTACCCATGGGAATTCCAGTTGATTGTTTGGAAATCTGGTCTCCAAAAACCACATGATACTGGAAATCGTAAACTCAAGCATCTTAATAATGTCAACGTCAGAATACTTGTGTGTACAATCATAATATTTTTTAACAAAATAATTATGCAAATGACTAATGACAAAGTAAGTAGATTGACGAGTACCATTTCTAATGGAAAAGCAGTTGTCAATGATACCAAAAAGTCTGGACTTTAATTTATCGTGGGGACAGGTTCTATATAAAGTTGAAAAGTCATAAGTTTTTAAGCTGTTGATTTATGGTAAAATCTTGTGATTTCAAATTTTCCAAAAGGTTTCTAGGAATTTTTAAATATCCACATCTAATTTACACCACTTCTCGAATATATTGTTTCAGAGTACTCTTCAAGTTTCTCCTTCACTACTGTTAATACCAGTGAGGAGTAAAAAAAGAGGCTTGGTTGAACATTTACTAGAACCTGCTATGTATCTTTGTTTGTAAGGATTTTTATGAAGATTCGAAATCCAATATAGATTTGGTAATTTAAATTCATTTTGCTTGTTTGGAATATTAAAAATATTCAAAACTGACATGATTTGAAGAATTTCTTCCCTAGAAAGGGAACTATGAGTATATATTGGTCAACCACTTGTAGAATTAAATCCAAGTTCCTAACAGGATTTTGCTGAAAATAGACATTTTCTCAACAAAATCCTGTTCGCTTGAATTCTATACATAATTTTTGAAGTAGGCAAATCATCTTGTTGATGGTGAATAGTGGTGTTCTGTGCGATAAGGTTTCTTCTTCCCCCCTTTTTTTTTTAACAAGACTTTAATATTGTCTGATTTTGTCTCACATTTCCACATTGCTTCAGTCGCATTTTGAAATATGTCTGGGAGTGCCCTATGCTTTTAGGTTATGGAATTCTAATTCCCAGCCTGGGGGCGATTGGGGGATAAATAGACACTTTTTTGGGGGGGGGTTGAAATTTATAAAACTAAAATGACTGCTCTTCTTACTTGTAAAAAAAAAATAAACGGCTTGGTGCCTCCTCCCAGAATATCACTAGAATAAAAGAGATAGAAATCTAACATTAGGTCCTACTTACTAGTACTGCGATATATATTTTCGCCAAGATTACGGAAATATCGTGATTTTCTCCTTGGATTGTGACCTTCACGACACGTATTGGCCCATTTCTGTGCCACATCAGCCAATTCCTTGCTCCATTTCTGTAAAAACAATTAAACCTTTTTTTTCTGAAAAAAATTATTAAGGGAATAATAATCTTTGCATAGGTTTTTTAAACTCTGAATTATCCTAAGAAATCAGAAGAGTATTTTTTTCTTCATTTTCATCGGCAACGTTGAATTAAACAACAAGAAAATACCAAAGCTTTTGTAAAACGAAATCAATTAAATGATATTACGTTCGAATATGCTATAACAACTTGCTTTTTCATTTTCTAAGATTTTTTTCTCATATTAGTATTTCAAAATATATATATAAGGTTTTTGAATATTTTTTTTGATGATTGTAAAAATCAAGGTTAATATACAAAATTAACTTTACCATCATCTTCATATCTGCTGCTCCCTTTTCACTAATCCTCATTTCGTTGTGGGCCTAAAATTATTATCAATTTTCATAAATATAACACTCTTCATAGCGATATAGACAAAAAAACAGAAAATTTTGCCGAACAGTGAAAATACTTGTCACTTTGAAAAGAATCACTTTTATTTAATTGATAAATTATGGTATTTCACTTTTAAAAAATATAATTTGAAAATTAAACCAATGGGAAAATAAAGAGCCTCATAAAGTTCTATCGTCGACCAAGCGAAAACAATCTATATTTAAAGCTGATGGACGTTTTCATACTAATTGTTTGGCCATTATTTACACACTTAATTGTCCATGGATTTTCCGTTACTAGTATTTCCCGACAAAGAGCACACGCGCATTTGGCAGAGGATGCTCACTCCACCATGACACCTGATCCCACCTCTAATGCTTTAAAAGTCCGTGTTTGATCAGCTTCTGATTTGTATGTTTTGAATGGACTTTTTAAAAGGGTGACTTTTATTTCATTAATAGAAAAGTACCTATGTTGATATTAATTTTTCTATTGTCAACTTCCCTTATTTTAAGTTGCAATACTAATAACACCTGCATCTTTGGTTTATGTCTCACAGTTCATTCGATATGCATAAACACTTAATTCTTTATTTGACAAAGATTCTTTAAAAAGGCAAGACTTTTGATAATTAAGTTGACTATACAAGGGCTTAAACAATCTTGTTTAAATTTAACATTTTGCAAATTCTTGGTTGATTCAGCTTGTTTGCAAATGCACTCTGTGTAAGATCGAATGTCACAAATTGTTAGGCCGTCATTTTCTTCATGATTTCTACTTGGCAAAGGGCACTCACAGTCTGTTATGTTAGATTTTTTGAGCATGAACGATATTATCTTCACATTAAATGCTACTCGTTTTTTTTTTCCTGGCATGATTGTTTAATATTTTGCTAAGCCCCTTCATCAATTTTGAGAAATGTCCGAGGTTTTCCCTTAATTATTAGCCCATCGTCTGACATATCCCTAATCGGAAAACACGAAATGAAATGAAATTGTGTTGCTATGTAAATAATCTGGCCTCCCTAATTTTAGAAACTCTTAAAATAATTTATTTCAGTCCTCCATTTTCAACTAAATTCATAATCACCAGTGATGCTGCGAAGAGAAGGATCATAGATGAAATGTGGGGATTACAACTAGTAATAAATCATCCTAAAAGTTGATTAAAACAATACAAATCGAGAATGGAGCAAATAGGGACGTCTAAACTTTAGCGGCGGAATCAGGTGCCATGAAGGAGTAAGCATTTCCTGATGACCGGTCATACTCGCCTTGTGCTCCTTGTCATAATCGGACAAACGGGGAAATCCGTGGAGATTTCAACGAACAAGTAGTATGAAAAACGCCAAACATCAAAGATAATAAGCGTGAATTATAAGTACCTGTAATAAGTCTCTTTGAGCAGAAGTCCCATGACAGAGACCGAGGAAAATGACTAGAATCCACTTCATGATTTTGTTGCAGGTTTAACAAGAACATTGGTGGGGTATTTATATAGGTTAGTGCCAGCCTTCTTTATGGAACATATCCCACTCATGAAACATAAGCAACAGTTGAAAAGGTTTTCCCATGGTGCATAATTAGTGAGCTCATTCAGGTTTCATTACTTCTCCACATCTTTCACATGGCTCTTGATATTGACATTTTTCCCATAATATAGGAGGATATTTATGATTTTTAGCTGAATATATTGATTTTGAAAATCCATAAATCATTTTACAAAAGGCATTTCCTGCTATTGTTTTGAAAGGATTCGTCGTGAGTACATTATTAAAAATTTTTTTACTACCTCTTCCTTTCCGATATATATGTCAATAAAATGCGCATTTCTTTAAAAAAAATCCCTAGTTGTGGATTGTTATTAAAGTACCAACCCGGTTATTATCAAAGACCTATATATAATGAACAAATGCTAAGTATTTAAGTTTAATGTTTTATTCGATATATATTGTCCACAGTGGTCTACACAACAGTGGGGCAGCCGGCAAAATGGCATACCCCCAACATCAACATAAGTTGTGCCCTCCCTGACGGGAAAAGTAGCACGCTGGGTTAACCTAGTGACTACGTACTGACACTGTATGGATGGATAAATAAATTCCGGCTTATCTCATTTATTCGATTTTTCACAAAAAGGAGGTGAATGATGACATAAAATTAAAGGATAGAGCTTTGATAACGACGCATATTGTGAGATGAACTCAAATATGCGGTAATATATTTATTTTTAAAAAATACATTTCTAAGATACATATTCCTTAATTCTGTTTAAAATGCTCTTACAATCTGACACTTTCGTTAATTTTAAGAACTGAGAAATAAAAAAGTAATCAGAGTATTTACATAAGTTTTGATGCTAAAATGTTAGGAATCTCAAAGTAGGTTCTATAAGGACTATTTCATGATCTTGTACATTTTAAGTCATCTCCAAATCAAGACTATTTTGGGGTTTATATCTTGTAAGTCTTAAATTCAGAACTACTTCATGGTCTTGAACTTTGTAAGGGCTCTACATGTCAGGACTATTCACTACGCTATACCTGGTGTGAGACTCGGGTCTATTTATTGGACTAGTCAATTTAAACCAAACGTGCAACAAGGCATTCGTTGATGGACGGGGTTAAATTTTAATGTTTTTAATAGAAAATGCAATTATCTTAGCTTTATTACTGTTCGTGGAATACGGCCATATTGTGAGTGCTTTTTATACTGTATGTTGCTGCTGTGTTGTAATTTTGGATCACCCTTTAGGTATTGCAACCCCTTGCTGCTTTAATAAATTTAAATATGCCACGACCCACAATCGCCGATATCTTTTGATAGACATGCTGTTTAAAAATCGTTCATGGTTTCTTTAATTTTTCTCTATTTAGATAGAAGTTTAATTGAATAATAAGATAAGACAAAAATAACTTGTCTTTGTAACATAAAGTCTTCAAAACCAAGTGAAGCAACACAGAAGAGGGAATGAGATGGGTTTTCTACGAGTGCTGAAACATATACATGTATATTTGATTTTGAAAAAAAATATATCTTTAATACGACGATGATGGTAGATTTGTATTAAAGGATACCAAAAATATTTTGCTAAAACATCGACACTTCAAACCATTGTAAGAAAATTAAAATTGCACATGTGTTTTGGGCATTTTGTGTGATTTTATTCAATATTCATAAAACATCAACTCGAAATATATAATCACTATGACACGTGTGGCCCCAGGACATTGACTGGACTGTTGTATGGGAGTTGGAGGGGTTATTTCCCCTCTAGTTCCCTT